TTTTACATTCATACATATACACCTCACCCTTCACTCACACAGCAAGTGCAGACATACTGATTTGCTGATAGACATATTAAACTGTATTGATTATTTTGTATTTACTTAATTAAAGTCACTATTCACAGACTGTGTGGTCTCCCTGTTTGTCACATACTTGAGCCAGGTTGTGACACTAGTTTATGGCCCATCACAGTCTTTCAGTGACTAGATTTTTATGCTGGTTTTAAGAATTTTACCTAAGCAAAATTGATTTACTCCACTGGCAGATTATTTTGCTTAACACAAGAAAATATGATTACATTTAGGAATAAGTTGTATTTGTCAACAAATAAATTCTTAGATCAAAGATCTCCCAAATCTGTATTTAAAAAAAATGTTTAAAGAAAAATCCTGAAATTGGAACAAAATCAAATTTTTAGGACGAACCATATATTGCTCATATATAGAAAGAAATAAAGAAATATTTGGATTTAGAACTGCCCTTCAAACCATCTTGCTGCATATTGGGAATATTACCAGAAGATATGGATGATAACCATCAGATATTAATATTGAGAGGCCATCTTCTTCTGACTGAGGCCACAGTAGTGAAATGTTCCTTTAACTACTGGATTCCTTTAAATTTGTCGCATACATACAAATCCCTCCCCCTGAGGAATAACTGGAATAACTGGAATAACTTTGGTGATCCAACTTTTAAAAAAGCGCCATCATCAGGTCAAAATTTGACTTTGGACAATACCTACAGTATCACACTAACTGCCTTCAAAACGGACAAGTGGCTTTCTCATCAGCCTCAGCTGTACATTGTTCAGTGCTTATTAACAAATGTTAAACATAATGAACTAATATAGTTTAATATTAAACAATATTCCTGCTTAACATCAGCATTAAAACACACTGACACTGCAGCTCAACTGCTTGCCTTGGTTTTTCTTTTTTATCCTTTAAATCATTTTTCTTAAGCCCCATCTGGGGGATCTATCATTGATATATAGTGTGTATCTTGATTCTCACAATGTGTTTCAGGGCAAGATTACTGTCTAATACAAGCAAAATAAATGCATGGAGTTTCTAATGTACCTGTATTTTTGTTAAAACACTTCCCTTGTGGAAATTTCCCAGCACCCAATGTGAAGTTTTGTCCAAAACCCCCCAAAACTATAATAAATCCTGCAACTCCTCACTTTTAACAAGCTAAAACCAGTGTTTTCTGCTCTAATTACTACTTCATCCAAGATAGTACAGGGACACCACTTGTGATGCATCAGTATACAAAAACAGACTTTAATTAAAATCTTTAATTACCAAAATAAAAAGATCCCAAATACAAAGACCAAACCTTGCACACAATTACACCCTCTCTAAAGGAAAAGTGCAACCTGCTCCGCTACTGTTCATGATTGTAGGGGACATCTTTACTGTAATAGCAGCAATGTTGACTTTGTGTGGGTACAGTACAGAGCTGGATACTTCTAAAATGAGCAGCATTAGGGGGGGAAAAAACACATGAAATGGGGTTTTATAAGTGGAGAATATGGGGGAATAACATAACCGTACAGGTTCTTGTCATGCTCTGGTTCAAGAGGGACAGATAGTTCAAGCAAACCTATGCTGATTTAACACATTTTAAACCACTTGACAGTAAAACAGAACTCTGTAATTATAAACTAACCCAATCCCAGGGACATTTCATTAATCTGATATTACACAATTTAAATCAAATGGAAAAAAATATAGATATATACATCTCATATGGATCAATATATGCAAATATACATTAGCAAGTCATTTAATTCTATATACTTTCTATACCACAGGTGTCAGTAAACTCGTAGCTATATCTTTGAATAGTTAGTTCAATACATTACTCCTACATGAGAGAAAATCAACTAAAACGCTTTAAGACACTTCATTCCACTCCCAACAATGTACAGCAACAGAAAGAAAACATTCAGTTTCACATCCACAGTTCAACTGGAAATCAGGGAAGATGGTTGGATGAGTTAGCACCGGTTTTTGTCCTTCGTCTCCACTAAAGTGCTGAGACAGGACCGAGGTGACAGCGGAGGTCAGCTATTGCTGTAATGACAGACTTTGTATGAGTGTGTAATGCATTACGATAAGCCTTTTATAACAAAATAAGGGAATATAATAAAATTGATAATGCATCATCATAAATCACCAATACCAATCACCAATATCCTTGAATCACAACGGCAGAGCACCTGCTCAACATTTGACTTAACTTAAATAGAAAACACAAGGTCACTGATTTGTAATTAGCTTTTTTTCCCCCATTGACCTTTACAAAACTTAGAAGCCTTTAAAACTCCTTCGGATCAGTCAAAGCTTTAGTTTTAGTACACGTGCTACCCTCCCCGCAGCTATCATTACTGGTCATAGCTTGCAGTGGGTTGTGAGCAGTGGTGCATTAACACACAGTGTGAACAAAGTGCTTTCTGGTAGAAACGTGCTGAAGAACCGACAGCCACACACTGGGCCCCATCGCAGCCAAGGAGAAAGAAAAATGGGTGAGAAGCATTATTTGGCACCTAGTTGGCTCACCCCTCCCTGTCTCCAGTGGTGAGGTTCAGTATGTGTCTGTCCTCTGTGTTACTAAGATATGTCGTCACTTGCAGCAGTTGTAAAGTGAGGCGCTGAGTGCCAGCTACAGTTTATAGGCAGATCTGAGGGTGATGAGTTGTGTTTGACAAGACTGTAAGTGGCAGAGTGCCACACATTCTTTGCTTTGAGAAATTGTAAGAAAAGCAAAACAGACACTTAGGAATGAACACAGATTAGAGATATGTTTACTTGAGAAATGACTCATAGGATCCTACGTTCTGCCCACTGGTGAAACTGAAGAGTCAAATTCTTTAGAAAAACACAGTTCTCATAATATTTCAATGTGCAAATAATGTGAGAATTTAGGGAATACAAACATGGAACATACACAAAATAAGTCTTTTGGGGACTCAAAGGTTATGAGCTGCATGGTTGATTTAAGGTACAGTCTCAGTCTGAGCTGCTGCTCTGAAGCCGGTGCTGCGGTGTTGCAGTGGCGCATTAGGACTTGAAGACGTGCACGGCCCTCACGACGTACTGCCTGCAGATCGGGCACTCGTTCATCCTCTTGCCGCACTTGGTGCAGGTGACCATGTGACCGCACTCCAGGAGAACGCAGTCGATCATAGCGTCCATGCAGATCCTGCAGAGATTGTCGTCGTGGATCGTCAGCGGACCCTTCTCGCCGTCTGCAAGACAAACAGAGAGAGAGGTGAGTGGAAATGTTAAGAAACTGCACTGAGGAGGGACTAAGCGGCTGGATAAAGCACCTCACCTTATCCAGTGTGCCTTATCTTTGTGAGGTCATGCTCACAATCTCCTCAAAAATGTCAAATGCCTGTTGTGGCTATATGTCAAGATGTTTCTATGACAACCGCACAGTCTTTTATCACTGGAAGCGTGCTGGTAAGAGAGTGAATATACACGCCTAACATGCTGCAGTTTAATTATACTATATATGTATAATTAGGTTCACACTAGAACACATGAATAGACAACAGTGGGAGATCGATGTCATGATGAATCAAACGTTCCTGGAGCATGACAACTGAAAGTGAAATGTTCAAATTTCTTTTATTCATTGTCATCCTTAATGAAACAGACCCTCGCAGTAAATGGCGTTCCACAGGGAGGACCACATACAGAGGGGGAGGAAAGCTGGTGAAGAGAATGAGAATGGGTTCACGGTGAATACAGATGTGGTGGTGACACTGTTCGTACAATGGAGAGGAGATGGTACGCGTGACCATGGCGACAGGCGAGGAATCCATTAGCCTTACCTCCGATGGCACCGTTGCAGATAGGAGGGGTAGGAGGGAAGGCCACCACTTTCGTGTGGGAGGAGCAAAGCAAGTAAGAGATATTTCAGCATTTGTGGTCATTTGGATGACCCTGCTTATTATCACTATTACATTATCATTGCCTACAGAATGTGATATTGTCGTTATTATCATTGTGTATGGTAAAAAAACAGGATGTGGTATCCAATACTGACGTACAGGACAATGTGCACACAGTGGCAGCTTACCTGTGGTTACAGTACTGCTCACATTTTCCACTGCAAGAAAAAGAAATTAAAGTTAATACAGCAACGGATTATAGCAAATTGTGTTAGAATAATGCCTTAACTCTGTGTTCAGTGCATACATTCTATAGTAATATAATTAATTCAAACGTTGTTAGAGCCAAGAACTTAGAAACAGAAACAGCACACAGCATTTAATCAGAGTGATACCCACATGATTTCCTGTTCTCCTCCGTCTCTCTGTACAGTCTGCTTACACGCTCCACCAGCTCCCACTTCTCACAGCACCCTGAATAGTTGACAAAGTTCCTGGCCAGGATCTCCTTCAGCTGCCTGACAGACAGGCCCTCGATGTCCCTCAAGCTGGAGATGTCTGAGAGAGATGCTCTGGCCCGACGTCGCGTCTGAGGACTGACCTAAAGGAGCAGGAGAATCAAGATGGTAGTGACAAAACTGGAAGCTGAGATTCCGATTACAAACTTGGGCAGTTTAAATGACTTTAATATTTATTGTTGAAGATTATTTAAAATACAGCTGATGTTTCCCAGAATTCTGTTGTGTTTCATGCAAAGAAATTGAATGAATTTTGAATGAATGAATTATTTCATAATGACGGTGATGAGATGAACACTTAATCACCTCAGGAGTGTGTTCACTGGGGTCCAAGTTGAGGAGAGACACCGATGTGGCATCACCTATATCCTGCAACATAACAGCAGCAAAAACAAACATTAGTGTACGCTACATGCCAGGAACAGGCCAGATTAGGATTAGACACTCTTCCGACAGCCCATTGATACCTTGGGAACAACAGTGTCTCATACCTTCCATTCATAGAAAAGCTTACTGCTCTCTAAGCAGGCCAAGTACAAGTATTTATAGGGGATCCTGGCTGCTTGGAGTGGAGCTCTTTGTCAGTGCCAGTCGTAGTGCCTGTTTTCTCTTTTACTTTTTGCCTCTCTGCTTTCTAAAATCCTGATCCGTTTCTTTTTAACTGGCTTACAAATTGTGGTAAAGCCAGGATGAAAGGATAAACAATAAGCTCACTTCATCACACCGTTTCTATATTTGTCTCTGGTGACATGTCAAGTGGTTCTCATAGACTCATTTGTGGCAGCTCAACAAATAGACTGAAGTGGTGACATGATGTACTAAGATCTGCACAAACACCTAAAGACGTGTGGAAAACCCTTCAGAGATGTAAGCTTTGTGTCTGCAGGCCACCATTACTGAAATCCAAACTTTTACCATTTAGGTTAAATATTCTACCTGCTGACTAGGTTTTAAGAACAAACAAGGATGGTCATACTGGTCAAAACTGAGAGGTTCGTAGACAAACTGTACCTCAGCAAATAATCACAGGGATGTGGTTGATGTAAAAATCAAAACATCCATCAAATCAAGCCTGTTTAAAGCTGACCTGGTTGGTATCAGAGCTATCACTCCTGCTGAGCGGCTCCTCCTGAGAGGCGACAAAAGCAGACAGCTCTGAGGCAGACTGCGTGGTAGAAGGGGTCGGCGTATACAGGGAGCGCGAGTGGAAGCTGCCCGTATCGGGGTCCTCCTCTTCCTCAATGCCTTGGTGACAGAGCACCAAGTCCACCAGGTCTTCTTTTTCCCTGCAGGTATCGGTGGGGATGTTACGGAGCAGCAAGTACTGACGCAGGTCCCTGACTCGTAGGCGCATGAGCCGCGGCCGCTGGAAGGCAGTTGCCTTCAGCAAATGACATGTGGCACAAATGCGCAGATTCTCCTGAAGCACGGAGCACAGAGAGCAGAAGCTCTTCTTGCAGTCACAGCAAATATACTGCGGAAACACAGGGTGAAAAAACAAACACAAACAAGATGATGGAAATGAGGCAATCTGGGATTTATACACAACTTCTACCATGTGTCAGTGCCAAAACTCCCCCTATAAAAGAAAACTGGACATAAAAATGTGCCTAAATGTTCATATTTACCCCTTATTTCAAAATGTCAACATTAAAATGTGATACAGGGAAAAAGAATTGGAGGAGACCACGTTTAACAAATTACTGGAAAAGTGTATGAATGCCAATAGACCTCTCCTGCATTTTTCAATCACTCACATCTGCTCTTCCTCTCCAGGCACAGAGACAGGAGGCAGCTCGTTTCTTTTAAGTGACAAACATCAAACAGTAATAGATGCAAGACGTGGGATTCGACTGGCACGGTGAGCGAGTGAAGCCCAGGGTTCAGAGAGACTGAGACCCTGAGCCATACATGAACATGAGCACTCTGAGGATGATATTACGGAACAAGTATGTTGTCCATCTGTCTCTGCAATCAGCTAGAACGGCACGGTGAAATTAGTAGCCTCTGGGTGTAAATTAAATTAACTTCAGCCTGTTTTTGTTGTTTTTTTTTTCAACACAGCAAAATATTGTTTCAGTTTGAACATTTTCTTTCAGATTTCACACCATTCAAAATACTAATAACTTGTGTTTTATACTAATGCGGACTTAATGTCACTTTTAAAGCCATTGGCCCAGACAACATTAAAAATATGAAGCCCCATTACAAATGCAGACATGTAAATGAGCGTAAAAAACACGTCCTCTATCTACTTGCCCAAAAAAAAAAAAAAAGGACGACTTCCCACAGCCAACTACAGCAAGTTAATTAGTACTTCTCCCTAAAATATTCATCTAATAAAACCCCCTCTGGTTCTACACGTGCACCTTTCCCTTCTCATTAAGTCAGTAGACCAATTAACATGTGCTGGCAATCACACACACACACACACACACACACAGGCAGAACATCCAGATACCTACCTTCCTCTTAAACACTGAGAAGGCCTGACCACAGGCCTTGCATACAAGACTGGGACTCCCTGAGCTGGTGGGCGGGTATGTGGAGTATCCTGCACTGGGGGCAAATCTGAAGGGTCCAGCACCGGCCCCAAACCCTGGCTGCTGGCCTCTGACTGCCCCGGTACCCATGACTTCATTCAGCAGACCACAGCATGAAGCCCACATGGACGAGGCCCCTGCCTGAGAGTCACACACAAACACACTTCACATTGATGTTACTGACAGTATGTTTAATGCAGCATCATTCATGCAAACTACAGAAACAAGCCCTACTGTTTGGTTTCATATAGTGAGCAACGAAGCTGGTTTATGTGCATGTATATGGAGTTATATACACACAATATGTGCAAAAGCCGGGCAACAAGGACACACACAACACACCACACACCACACACACGACACACCAGCAGGCGCAAAGCACAACAACACACTTAAGCAGGTTAACATATAAAACAACAGTAGTTAGAATAGTGGATAGTTAGCAGACCTTAATGTTTGCAGAAAGCAGCGACTTTACCTACATTACTCCACGTTTAACATGACAGTGAGGTGGATTATTGAGTTGCTGGCTGTGCGACCGGTTCGTCGGTGCAGTCAGTTAGCACAGTGCTAGGTAACCACCGACGACAACCTCCCACATTTAACTCAACGGCAGCTGCAAAGCCACGGTGCGAAACAAGAGCTACACATCGGATCAGAGCGAGAGAAAACTGCACCTTCATTGCAGCTCCGGCGTGTCCACTGAGAAACAACAGGCGGACGGTGCAACCATCGCAATGAGACTTGATGTGAAGACAGAAACGACCCGAAGCTCCGAGCACTGCTGCTGCTGCTACTTCTACTCTCCTACTGCGGCTGCCTGCAAGCAGAGGCGTTGCACTGCTGCCCCCTACAGGCCGTGTGTGGAACTGTGTGACAGAGAAATATTGACAGACTGGCTTTAGATAGATAGATAGATAGAAGAGAAGATAAAGAGAGAAATAGATAGAAGATAGATATGATAGATAGATAGATAATAATAATAGAGACCTGACTCTTATTATATATTGCATTACATAATGCACTCCCCATCTTCTGTAACATTTCTTATCCTCTATCATTTTCTTATATTTGTGTATTTAATAATTTTGTGTGCTTGTAGATTAGCACATTGCACCAAGGACAAGTCCTTGATGTGTAAAAACCTACCTGGCAATAAACGATCTGAGAAGATAAAGAATAGATAGATAGATAGATTAGAGATAGATAGAAGATAAGATAGATAGAAGATAATAGATAGATACTGAGATATGATAGATAGATAGATAGATAGGTAGGTAAAGAAGGATAGAAATAAAGATAGATAGATAGAAGAAATAAGGATAATAGATAATAGATAGATTAGAAGAGAGTGACATCCGCTGTGAAAAGTGTTCTGTATTTACAAACCTAGGAATGAAAACGGCTG